TGAGGGGACCTACCAGATGTTCCCCTTTAATTTAATGTCATTAATTTTTTAGTGTACGCCGTTGAAGTGTACGTCGTTGAACAGGTAATATTTAGAGCTCAACCACGCCAGAATCTACATCTACAATATCGTCATCACATTGTAAAATTCGTGGCAAAAATGTTACAAGAGGTACATGATGGCTGAAATATGCCTGGTATCTTTGCGTTGCGATAGAAAGGCTATTGTCTAAAGGCCAACTTGCAAATGCGCCATCAATAACGGTTCCATCTGAATCATATGTTGTCGACTCACGCCTGCTATTCTGCATGATGAGACCGTAAGGTAACAACTCATCCACAAGTCTGTGGCTCTGTCCTGTTTCCCTTTCCATCATATCGATATTAAAGTCGCCGTACAAAATAGTTTGGCAGTTTGGCATTGGTGGCAAGCTCTCGAGCACCGCCTCCAGCACAGACTCAACACTAGGTTTGCCGTGACAATACATGACGGCGACGCGCAGACCTGTTCCAACCCATATCACAGCCATTTCGAACCCCTCTCTAGATATTGTGGCGATGGGCCCGGCCGGCACTCTTGAATATACGGCGACGCCCCCGCCCCGCTGCCCGCCATCTCTGTCGCACCTCAACACTTCTACGATGTTGTCCGCTAGAGACATGGTTTGGTGTGGCTGCAACCATGTCTCTGCGAAAAGAAGGATGTCTGCTTCCATGTACACGCGGTCGTGCCGCACGTCCTCCACGTGCCGCGTCAGGCTCTGTACATTGAGGTACACTATACGGGCGAACGCCGGGTTTTCGCACGCCGAAAGTATTCTGTGCCACCTAGGAACTAGCGCACAACTTCGCAAGCGCGCTCTTTCTTCTTGGAGAGCGACGACCTTGGCTATTCTTCTGGCACGTTGCGACGGCGTTAAGCTGCTGCCGTCGTCATTGTGAGGAGAAATTGGATGCTGGAATAGGCGACCTTTGGCATTTTCAGTAACACGTTTGTCGTCTATGTACAAGCCATTAAGCGATGTTACTCTTGTAAGGCCGACATACACGAGCTCATTGTCAAAAGCTGCGTCGTATTCAACGCAAACGCAGTCGTAGGTTCCGCCCTGTGTTTTGTGGACTGTGAAGGCCAGTCCCGGCACAAGCGGAAACTGCTGCCTGCTTACCCGGCGCCACTGCTCGGTCCGAACCAAGTTCATGACGATATCCTTTCGCTCAATCGGGACCAAACCCATGCAGTCAGCAGGTGGGTCAGGGAACTCGAAACCTGTTATGTCCTCAAGTTCAGCGGCGAGACAGCGTGATCTCGCCACACTCTCTGCTAGCTGCTGCTTGAACTTTTCAGATGTTCGCGCTCCCGTACTGCCCGGGAAACGTAGCCACAATCTCCTTACAGCAAGCAGGCTTTCCGCACCGCTCACCGCATTTTGTCCGGCGTTGGCGTGATCAGAAGCAGGGGGCACTAGTCTCCCTACTTCTATCCAGGCAAGTGTGCCCACTGCCCCGTTGACCAAGCCGTCAGACGTGTCAATGTTTACGGTGAGCATGTACGGTAAACCTATTACTGCCAGCAGATTGAAGGGCAATCCCCGCGCTTGCTGAGTGGTGAGTTTTTCGGCCTTTTCCAAGTGGTATTTTGCATGTACCTCGCGCTTGCGGAGAGATTCTTCGGTTCCCGGATTAATATACTCACGATTTCTCTCCACACGGTCTCGAGCCTGAAGAGGAATTATTTTTTCGCGCGGGTTTTCAAGTATTTTCTGCATGTTAAAATTATCTACATCTTTGTTTCTTTTAAATATGCGTATTGCATTTGGGGGCACTTGTAAATTGTTTTTCCTTATCATTCGGGATTCCAGCATTTTCCTCTCGTGGTCCGTAAGTTGTTCTGCATCGCCGATTTTTTTCAAAATTAGGGCAAATTCCTTTTGCTCACCCTGTCGCATGTTTTCGGTGAGCTCTGTGTATTCAAAGCGGCGCCACAAAGAGGTGCACCCAGCAATAGAAGAAGTTGACCTCGAGTAGATGGATGTTCCACAAACCGGTTCCAATTGTCTGTCAAAAAAATAATAATATTAAATTGTACGTTTTAGACGAACTAGTAATTTTTATCAGCCTATACCCCGTTCACTTCAGTAGTTATGATGTACCGCACGCACGAGTGCGGGCGGGTTGCCTACTCACTCGGCTCGTAAGGCGCCGTGCACAGGGGCGATAGGCAAGCCCGCCCGCCAGGCGCGGACTGGGCGCAGAAACGCGAGGGGGGAAACCTACGAAGGGGCCCGGTTTGCCTACCTTCCAGGGGTATCTGTACAAAGACCCTACATTACTTTAGCACTATAATTGTACCAGTAATACTCTACTAAAGTATGTCTCGCGAGCGAAGCGAGCGCGAAAAAATATGGTTAAGATGGCAACTGCTAATACGCAATGAAGCTTTAGATTTTGCCTTTGAGAACAACATGAAGTGGGTGGGTCATTTCGTTTGCTCGAAAAAATGGTTAGGAAGACAGCTGTCAATTGCCAAATTTTAATACGCCATGATGCCTTAGGTTTTGTCTCGGATAATAGGATCACTTTGATTCACTCCTCGTTTACCACCGAAATGAACATCGTTTCTCAATCACGTTTACTGATGCTCCTAGAGCTGTGGGTACAAAGAAAGGCGTGCCAGGGCCTTCGGCCCAAACAAAATGTCTACACCTTGACGTTGGGCCTGGAGCGAGGGGCCCGGGCCTTCGGCCCGGGGGCCCGCAAACCCCCGAATCAGTGGGGCCCGGGGGGGATTTCCCCCCTTCCCCCCCGGGCCAGTCCGCGCCTGCCGCCCGCACTCGTGCGTGCGGTACAGCATAACTACTAGGGTTAATCAGCCCCCTGGTATGTATAGTAATAAATATGCATTAAACACTGGGGAGTACGGTTCAAATGTTCTAAACCCACCTGAAATCTCCAAGAAAAATAGTCCATATCCCTCCAAAGGCATCCCTTGTTCCTTTTGCCATCCTGCACCTTTCATCCATAGACAAGAGGTTTTTCTGTGACAACATGCTAACCTGAAAATCAATGGAGAGAGAATATAAATTTGGCGGTGAACGTTTTTCAATATTTTCTAAATATTTTGGAAAGAAATTATTCATAAGCACATACCTCATCAATCACTTGTCCATACAAATCACAGAATTCATTTTGCAGGTGCGCAAGGCGATCAGGACCAAGGGGTGGCAAAATTTCCTCGCCTGCATGTGCTCTTTCTGTAGAGCCTCGCTCTTTGTCGCACACGAGACGGTAGATTGAATGAATAGTTTCGCCTCCAATTAAAAAGGCAGCTTTTCCAGTTGGGGCACCAACGACTGATTTCGGGTAACCAGGATGTCGGTTTGGTGCGAACGTTTCAAATGCATTTACTATATTGCGTGCGATGACCGACTTCCCACTACCAGCACTTCCGTCCACGAAAATAAACCTTAAAAGATACAAAAATTATTACCAGTTTTTTCAGTAGCACTAAACGTGTGCGGGAATTAAAACGTATGCGTACTTACCGGGGTTCAGAACGTAGTCTTATCCCATCAATGATAATGAGAACAACCTCCTTCTGCTTAGGGTTTAACTCTCTTATGTTCCGGCGGTAAGTCTCGTCGTCCCATTTACCTCGCCGTTGTAGCTGCACAACGGACTTAGTACTTGGTTGCCGTTGTATATTTGGCAGGTCAACAGTGATGTCCTGACCGGCGTCGTCCATGTACTCTGCTTGCTGCGTGTCGTCAAAGACGTATTTGGAGTGGCCACCTAGGTACCGGCGTGCTCCGTCCGTAGCCTCGTTGGCGTCTTCTTCGTCCTCTGCGACACAGGTCTGCACTTCAGCATCCAGCGTATCCTCCAAGTCGAGTTGAGCTTCGAAGCGCCTCCTGCCTTCAGTAATTCTCTCCGCACATGCATTGTAAAGTGCCTCAAAAGATTGCCCGTCCTCACCGTGACGCAATATGTCGGCACTCTCGTCTCTCCAGCTCAGGTGCAACGTACACATTGCACGATAAAAGTTTTCTCGTTCCGTTACGTCCTCACTCTTGCAATCATACTTGCGATAACGAATAAACCAATCACGTTGTCGCCCGATGTTCTTGTTGTCTTTGTCTTTCCGTGTGCTGTTGTGGTACTTGGCGACATACACAGCAAGAGAAACGTCATTCAAATAATCAGGTCTTTTTGCGTATATGTCGTAAATGTCTGGTCGCCAAACGTTAGTTGATCCGGCCGGTAAGTTTGCTATTTCTGCAGTCGTTTTCGGGCTTCGGGTACGTTGCTCCGGCGGAGAAGTGTCAATAAACCGACAATACCGGCTTTTTTTGCTCATTGGATATTTTAGAAGCACCCATGCTGCTTCCTGTGCAGAGGTTTCTTTTGCACGCAAAGCTTCAGAGGACAACATTTGCAAGAGTGCGCGATCATCGTAGCCCTTCTCATGACGAAGGGTCATCAATTTTTTGTACAATTCTGAGCGACACTTTTCACCCTTTGTAATGTAAGATGCACAGTACCTTACAAGACTGTACACATCTGCGATGAGTTGACTGTCGCCATTGGATTGAATGCTTGACCTTACCCACAGCATGCATGGGTTTTGGAATCTGTCTGCAACCTCGCGTTTGTACATGAAGGTGGGGTGCATCACTCCGCTCCGCACGGCCAAGATATACGTCTCCTCGTCCGGGCACTCGGCCATTTTCCACACTTCTGCCAAAGTGGCAGGACAATTGTCAGCCGCCAGAACATCCTTCAGACGGAGACGAAGTTCTTTCAATTCTTTTAAATATTCTTTCCAAGGTTTGTCAATTCGTGTGGCACGCTCGTCCCGCTCCTCATAGAGAGGTTTTATAAAGCGAGTGTAAGGTGTTGGCCAGAACGGTGCGTTAAAACGACAATGTCTGAAATATAAAGAACATGCGTTCAAAACAAGTCATCTTCAAATGTGTTAATGACCATTCACACACTTGCGGCCGAGTAAATCTTTCCTTTTACGAGGGTACACTGGAAACCCAAGTGTGTGAATGTCGCACACTTGCAGGTGTGTGAATATCCATTCGTACACTTACGGGGGTAAACGTGTGAATAAGTGTACGAATGGATATTCACACACCTGCAAGTGTGCGACATTCGCACACTTGCGTTTCCAGTGTAAGATTTGCTCACCTCCAAGTGTTTGCATATGTTTGTCACGTGCACCTGCACGTGTGTGAACCTGTCACACGCATGCAAGTGTGTGAACCTTTTTGAAGCACAAAAATCATACTTGAATTAGATTTCGAGCTTACCTATGAGTATCCATGGGAGCAAGCTCTCCTGCTGCGAACCGGCGTTGCACAACACGGGATTTAAAACAAGTGGTTGTGTGGTTGTGTCTGTTTCGTTCCGCTAGTGGATGGCTCGCAGAACACGTCAAGAGTTCGTCAGCAAATTTGCATGCACCTTCTGGATCCTCCAGGGGGTCCGGAGCATTTTCTATCCACAATAGAGAATGCAAATGTGGACTTCCCCTCGCCTACATGTCACAAATAGATAAAAAAAAATGGTAATATTAAATTAAATGCAAACAGTGAAATCAGATTTCCTATACTTTTACTGATTTTTGCGATAACTGGAGTTTTGAGATTCTTATGCCAAAGGCCATGACAACTTTATGTTTGCGATAAAAAGTATAGGGATCAAATTATTTCCAAAGAATTTAGAACCTAACACATGTAGTCACGAAAACAGAAAGGTTAGGTAATTTTGAATACAACGCCAAGTAGGTATACTGTACCGCATGCATGAGTGCGGGCGGGCTTGCCTATCACCCCTGTCCACGGCGCCTTACGAGCCGAGCGAGTAGGCAACCCGCCCGCACTCGTGCATGCGGTACAGCATAACTACAGAAGTGCGCGGCGTGAATCAGCCACCTGGTATACACTCGAAATCGTGGCTATTTCTGTTGCGTTAAGTGCGTGGATGTTCGTTCACGCACCTGCAAGTGAGTAAATATGTTGTCGTTTTGTGCACGTAAGGTAATAAAATAATAAAGCAAGTGTGCGACATTATTACGCTTGGATTTAGTGCATGGGGTACAGTATAATTACTGAATTGAGTGGGGTGAAATCGATCACTTGGTACTATTGAAAATCAATATTACTAGTTGCTTACCTGAAACTCAATTCTAAAGAAGAAATCAGTAACACGATAACGCCCCATGGGGCCTTTTCGTTGTTTCAAAAACTTTTCCAGGAGCCTCACGACTTCCTGGAAATACATGGCGCAGACTACAGGGTCTTCTCTAATTAGTTTTAGTCGCTCATCCCCCGGAATGTCAATTGAGGCCTGTTACATAAAAAACGAAAAAAATATTATAAAGTTGCATGGCATGAAAGAAGGTGCGTTATTGGTTAATACCAGGTGCCTGATTAGCCCCGCTCACCCGCCCGCACTCGTGCTTGCGGTACAGCATAGTACAGAAGTTAGCGGCGTTTATCAGACACCTGGAATAAAGCACGACACTTTACCTGTTCGCTCGATCCCTGTACCACGTTTTCTATATCTTGTAACACCAGAGGGGGTACGTTGGCATCTTGTTCACTCTCGATGTGACCATCCATTACCATCTGTCCACCAGATTTGCTTAATGCTTTTAAAGCTTTAATTAGAAGTGGCCAATGGTATTCAGCGGCAGACACCGTCAAGAAGACGGCTGGCTTGCCCGCTTGGCGTACCATGGCGAATAAATCGTGACTGATGGATTGCCAATACTGTGCGGAATTTGGAATAAGGGTAGGCACTGCAAAACCCTTTTTTTGGGAAGAAGCAACAAATTTGGGATCCATAATATTTTCTTTAGTCACCAGACCGCCGATGTGGTTTTCTGAACCACGCTTAAACCTGTGTGAACAAAAATTTAATTAAGTATTACAGGAATTTCTCTCATAACTTGCAAAATCCAATTCAGAATTAGTCGTCTCGAAGCCCAATCGCAAGCGTTCTGTGGGTGAAGCGGAGGGTGGCGGGTGTGGCCAAAGGAAATGGGGGGGACACGGCGGTTGCGCCTAGGCTGGGCACTGGGCAGGCAGTGAAAGGTGTAGCCATGTAGCCGCCACGCCACATCCGGCTCGCTTCTGCTCGCTTAGGCCTGCTGCCCCCCCCCCTCACTTCCCAATAGGCGTTTCAACGACTATTTTTGCATTAGATATAACGCATCAATAAATAATTAAAAACTCACCTAT